AGGGGAGGGGAAGATGATGATGATGATGATGGTCAGCTGGGTGTGTGTGATGGAATGTATCTACGAAGGGGGAAGTGGTGTGATGGAATGCACTAGAGATCTAGATTCTTAGGAAGGAGACAGTGCATTCCAGGAAGGAAAAGGGGGAAACAAGAGACAATGGAGTCCAGAGCAGGAGTGTAGGAAGAAGAAGAGACTTAAGATAGCCAAAAGGGCAGAGACAGGGAGGGGAGATAGGAGGGTGGGGGGAGTTGAAGCAGAGGCAGTTTGCACAGGGCAGGAGAAGTGTGAGGTCCTGGCCTAATGACCGCCACCTGGACTGCCATTGCTAAGCAGTGCAGACATGTGATGTTCTGCTTAACAACCACTTTGCTTATCAACAAAAATTCCAGTCCCAATTAGGGTCGTAACCCAAGGACTACCTGTATGTTGCTTTACATGAAAGCTTTGTATGGCTATTGATCTATTATGTGACTGGAGGATCATGCTATAGGTTGCACTGAATATATCATATTAAAGAAGATAGGATATACACACTTTAAACTCCTTCTCTGATTGAAATAACATAATACAGGTATGCAAAACATTTCAAACTCAAAATGGGGTTGGAGCTGAAATCAACCAGAATATATTTCAATTGGTTTTGAAGTATTCTGAGCTCAAAACAAGTGTTTTAAGTGAAATGGGGCAGTTTTGCACTTAGAAAGCTTCTACAGTAGACAGAACAGCATCAATTAGAATAGTTGTTAACTAGAAATTTTGAGCTCAAGGTGAGGCATTTTGACCTTTTTGTATACCGCTATAACTTAATATTACTCAGCTACAGTTTAGCCAAACCTAAAAGACTGGCATAGGTTACTAATTATTTATACAGAACATACTCATTATTCAGTTAATCCCTGTTTGTTTTAATCCCAATGATGTCTGAATAAATGGCAAAAAAAGAACACTAACCTCTGTCTCAGCAACTTGGGATTGCAACAGTTGTCTTATACGTAGAATATCTTTCTCAATTTGTTGAATTCTAGCCACTCTCACCTGAAACGAAGTATGAGAACTATTACAATACAGTTATTATTTCCCCTTTAAAAACTACATATGAAATTGACAGTGTAAAAGCCTTAATGCAGTATAAAGTTTGGCTCAGAATATATTGCCATATTTATTCAAAAGGAAGATAATCCTGAATTAAAACAGTCTTCCAGAGAAGCAGGAGCACATGATGGTGGTAGAGGAGGAAGAATTAGAAAAACACATACAAAAGCATTGATCAATATTCAAATGTTTTCTTTCCAGCCTATGTCTGTTAATTCCAGCTAAAATTAATCCTACAGAAGTTTTTCCCAAAAAAGGGCAGAATCAGGACAAGAATTAAATAACATTCATTGAATTGTAACTGCTCATTAAAATTGGCCATTTATAAAATTAATTGATTTAACATAAATCATTCTCTACCACAAGTTCCTTCTAGCAGAAACAGGAAAGAGGAAAAAATGTGTTGAAGATACAGTGATAGGACGGGATGGAAGAGGACAAAACAGGATAAAGATAAGGCTAGACAAAGAAGGAAAGACAGGAAATGTTTGTAGCAAGTTCAATGGATGTTTGTCCTGGTTTCAGTGTAAACCTAAGCATACTTACTTTGCAATAAGTCCCTATGAGTTCAGTTACTGTACTCTTAATCACAGTTTAGGACTCCAAGTCCTGTTCAGACATTATGAATATTCAGTCATGACCTGTTCTTTATTACTCCAGAATGCAGGACAAAAAATATGGATTTATTAGAGGCATATGCTTTGGAAACCATGCTGTTCCTACCAGGGCAAGAGCCAATAACTATGAATGGAGGATTTGTAGGACATGTTTGTTGCTTAGACATATAACTAAATGTGCTTTGCAAACTCCCCCAACATGTTTTGTTTTGTTTTTGTTAGCTTGTTTTCTTTTCTCAGGGATTTCATTAAATTATACATGGAAAAATGGTTGATTTCTTGATACAAACAACTATTTGCTGAAGGACTACAAGGGCATATTATGAAATGAAGACATTAGAATACAGAATAGCCATGACATCCTTAATCTTTATCAGGCCTTCTTAGACTTTTTCTTGCTGGCTTGCTTCTACTACATGCTACAGGTTTAGCCCAAATCTTAAGGTCATCTACAGTGTCCTTTTATGGATCCAATGTTCTTTTACAATCCATGTGAAGCAAACTACTGCTGATTCAAAAATATCCTAAAGAAAAGACCTGTTGTTCAACTGTTCAATGTAATGAAGCCATTCGTTTTTTTGCTGAGCACAGGAACCTGCTTAGAATCAGTTGGCAGATATTGTCATACCCTCTTTTATTTTATTGCTGAAAGATTACTGATACTACATTGCTATTCTATAATAACTTTTCATTAGGTAAATAACTGACCTCAATGTGACTCTTACCACACCTCTTTAGATATGGGCTGATAAAATTCAGGACCTTTCTGAGACTATTCATTATGTTGACTTCGCATTTCCCCAAAAGGAAAGTGCTCATGTTCACCCTGCTTTATGGACTCATTTTTGATCAACACTGGCTTTCTTCAGGAGGAAAGAAAATAAGCATTTAAAGTAAGAAATCCAGTGGCTCCTTCAGCTCTCTTACCTGCACATATAAGGGAGATCTTACATCTCCCAGTTTATCTCTCTCTGATAAGAAGTGTGAGAAAAGGAATGGCAGGAAACAGATAGACAAGAGTTCTAAGCAGAGGAATATTATGAAATTTTGGAAGCAGATGCATGAAAAAAAGTATTAAAATACTTTTTAAAAATACTTTTATGTATTTTAATGTATTTTACTTTTCTTTGAGTGAAATAGTTCAGTCAGTTCATGCTATGCCATTATTGTATTATACTATACTCAATACACTGTTGTTGTTCTCACTTTTTTGTACTATAATTGTTTTGCTTACTATATATTAAAAACATCATTTGAAAACAAAGGCAACACTTTTCCAAGCAGCTTTAAATACACAAAAAACAGGTACATCTTTGAATTGTTGCTAAATGTTGATGGGCAGATTACCTGTGCTCTCTTCTCCATGTCCTGACATGTACCTAGTTGTTCCTCCATGGCAGCTCTGATCTGTCTTGCCTCATACTCCAATTGCCTTCTAGTCATGTCAGTCTGCAATGAAAACTAAAAACAGAACATGAAATAAAACAATTCCAATTAAGGATGATGCTAATATCCCATCCTGATAAACTAAACAAGGAGTTTAAATATGTGAATTTAATGTTTATAACGTAAAAGAAAAGTAAATTAATTTCATTTTCCCAATATGACATATCCAGATACACAGAAAGAATGAGAAAATTGATAAACATATATACAGCCTTGAAAATATTACCAATATATTTCTGTGGACTTCACAGTCTTGTTCTCAAAATGTTTCAGATGATGTCATATTTCAACTGGCATATTTTGATTTAAATAACACTTATTATATGAATGTAGTTGTTACCACTTACATTTTCAGTAAGAGGAAGACTATCTATCCTTTTAGTCAAATTCTGAAGCTGAGCATAATACCAGTCTTTTTCCTTTTCTTCCTTTTCAAGCTCAGCAAGCAAGAGAGATCTAGAGATAAAGAAACAAGTATTATATCAGTTATTATTCTCTATTAGCTAACAGATAACAGGTAATAGTTTAAACAAGTAAAACCTATGTGGAGGAAAACTGATCTATTTAACTAAATTTCCCAGTTTTTTTTCAGTGACTTGATGAGCCATGATTAAGAGGATATTCTTCATATGGTTTTGCTGTATCTGCTATGCAATTTCCAAAACTTAATATTTATCAATGTTATTTACTATTACACACAAAATTTGAGAGAAAAACTCCCAAGAATTATCCTTTAACATAAGAAAACTCTAGGTAAGGATATGTATGAAAATGTATGGTTAGGGTATATTAATTTAAATATTAGAAAAGGCTATTTATCTTAAATTTTGTAATGTTTAACTTTTTTAACTTTTTATTTACAGTTTAACAACTTCTTCTCTCTCAAATGGCAAGATAATTGATGCTTCACAGTTGCTCAGAATTTCAACAATATATAGTAGTCCAAAAAATAAAATTGTTCGCCGCCCAGAGTCACTTGGATTGAAATGGGCAGCTATAGAAATTGAATGGATGAATGAATGAATAAATAGTCACACCTGTTCTCTTTTGAATTGAAAGACAAATGCAGAAAAGACATATAACATGTAATAGAAAAGCAAGTGTAGCTAGTGTTATTTCTAAAGAGCACATCTGGATTGAATGTCAGCATAAAATAAAACAAAGAGAACCAATAGCATTTTAAAAAATACTTGAATATATAGATTTTTTTCTATGAATACAAGTAGAAATGAAAAACTGAATAAACTTAAACTGAATATTAAATAGCTCTAAAAGAAGTAATACATAAAAACCTTTTCCTTGCAGCTCAGATTACATTAACACTTGCAGCTACATAGCAACGTTTTTCAACTATCTTGTGAACTCATTGACTCAGGATCCAAGGAATCAAATTATACACAACCAAGGAATTCTGGATTTCTATACTCCTGAACAGCATTTCTCATCTTTGAGAGCAAGCTTTAAAAAAAAATCTTCCAAGAAGTGTTTTAAAAGCAATTACTATTTTAATCTATTGTTGAAAGATTACATCTTAAATTTCCATTTGGTACATCCAAGCAAATATTCAGTCTTATATGGTAAAACACTCATAGTTCTAAGAGGGAAAAGGTGAGTGTATTTATATTTATTGATTTTCCATTTTTATAAAGGTGAAAAAAAGAAGGTGCAGGAGAAGACATCAATCAGGAGGATCAATTGTCGCATAAATTAAGATTTAATAACAGACAACCACAATTGCTATAATTAGTTATAGCCAATGAAATGCTGTGTTCAAATACAAAAAAGACTTTAAAATTTTCAGTAAAATTATGTCGTTTAATGCTCTTCTTAGTGTTTGTCCTGCTTAGTTGTAGGGTCTGCTTGTTTTGCACTGTGCTTGCCTAGTTCTTACAACAAAGTTTATCACTGCATGAGGAAATGAGGGGTTTTGTTTTTCAACCAGCTTGTCACATAGCCTGGCATTGATTTGGGCCTGAGAGGGCCCAAGGTCTCCCAGCTAGCTTCTGTGTCTAAGGGAAGACAGGAAGCTGGGCCTTCCTGCTCATAGTCCAGTACTTATCCATTACACCTTGCTGGATGAAAATCAACGTAGCCTTTCAATGCATGACAAGGAGTAAAATAGGTGATGGTATTATACTAGAATCAAGAAGATCCAATCCATACTTGGTCACACAATTTATTGGCTTAGCCCAAACATTGCCACACATTTGTTGCTGTTAAGGTAAAACAACAAATTAGAATGTATCAGTCCTGATATTTAACATCTGCACAAAATACAAAATGCATCTACAACACTATCAAGAGAACATCAAATCAAGGTATTAATACAAGATTAGCCAAGATTAAATTAAGATGAGAATGGGGTAAGCAGAGGTGATAGAACATTGGATTTGGACTGGGGTGAGGGTACATTTAAATCTGTATTCTGCACCCTGAACCTCACTGGCTCATCTTAGAGAAGTTCATGGATTATGAAAATGGAAAATATTCCATGCATATCAAAATTTCGTAAGGGAAGGACATGAAGTAAAGCATATAAATAATAGTTATATTATAACATGATATAAAGTATCACTGTGCAGTGCTTTGGAAGAACTACTTTTAGAATGCCTAGAAGCACAATATGTGGGAATAGAATTAGCTCCACATCTAATTCACAGCACCCAATTTAGATGGAACCTATTTATGCATGAAGCTTCACTGACATAACTTTAAACATTTTCAGAGTTGGAGAAATTATAAATAATATTTCTTCAACATGCCACACCAGAGACAGTTGCTGTAAATATTTTTATGTGATCCACACATTCCTGTCTGGGGAAGGGAGGGAGGGAGGGAGGGAGGGCAGGTGGGCTGGCCAGCCGGCCTAGTTTAAAGTTCCAAAGATTGATATAAAACACATATCTGGGATTAAAAATTACCTTTCTTTTTCTAGTTCTTCTAGATAACCAGTGCTTTCTCTACTTCCGTTCATAAAACCTTTTCTGGGAAATGATCCCATGGGAACAGGGCTGCATTCACCTGATCGACTAGAAACTGATCCTTCTCTGCTTCCATATGAACGCATGGATATCTTTGGCCTTAGCTTCACGCCGGGGAAGTTATTGCTATCCAAATTCAGTTCTGAGCAGAAACAAAGAAAAGTGTTGAGTTGACAAGAAAAAAAGTCTTATATGATTTTTTCTATTATGCCATTCCCTTTTCAGGTAAGCAATGTTATGCAAAAGGCAGAAAAGGAATAAGAAATAATAAGCAAAAGAAACTCAAGGCGTGAAATAAGAGAAAAAAAAAATACAGCTAAATCTAGTTTGCCCCAGCATTCACTCTATCTTTCTACGCCTTCCTGTCCTTGCAAACAATCTCTCTACCATGTCCATACGCTGGCTGATTAGTTTAAAGAAAAAAGATAGTGTACGAAACACTTCCTCAATATTCCCCTTCCTTTCAACCACTCCATCATTTGAGCACACACTTTTGTATTCCGCCACATTCATTCACCACCAATTCATTCTTGACCCTATCTCTTTCCTTATTTTATTATTTCTTCTTAGGTACCTCACTTCCATTGCATTCAACTTATTTTTGTTTCTCTCAATATGCCCAATTCTCATTTCCATACAACAAAGTGGACTGAAGCACATTCTTATGCCCAGCCATGTTCATTTCTTTAACAAGCATTCATTCCTCACACAAAGTCATGTATCTTCACATTACCACTACCTTTCTTTCCACTCTTTTTTTTATTGCATAAGCTTTGACAAATTATTGAAACAGAAATGACACAAGAATACTGTAAAGATACAATTACCACTACCTTTTTACCAGCATTTGCATCTCTTAAAATTTCTCCATTTATTTCTCCATCTTTAAGAAATATTCTACCAAGACACACACATTTACCTACTTGCTCTAATTTTTCAATACAGTTTAGTGAATTTCTCCTCCAGATAAAGATAAAGCAGGCAACAAATTTTCTAATATAGTACTTCCTAAAGACAAAATATTTTCCTAGTAAATTAAAATGAGTATCAATTAGGGTTGAATTATTCAGCCAACTGGCAGTCCATTTCCCTTCTATGAAATAATATTTTATTAGGCATCTCACGAAAGGAATAAATGTTTTCAAGTTGCAAGAATAAGAATTAATTTATTCAGTACTAAGTATTACTATGTCTAACCATATAAACCTTGTAGGTATGAAACCTACGTTGCCAGTGTTACCACATTTGGATGACTATTTGAGAAGCCTTTTTTTTTTTTTAAAGAAAAAAATATATGCCTTTGGCTCAATATCAGCCCTCCATGATCTCACAGAAAGAATTCATAGACAACATCTGCTTTGCTAACTGTTGTAACCTTCTTCCACATTTACCTTTAAGACGTTCCAGCAAATCAATCTGACCAGATGAAGCCATTGCCTCATCTTCAATACTTCCTTGCAATTGCTTCAATACCTCCTGGAATATAAGGAATAGTATTATTCAAAAAATTAAGCAATAATGAAGTACAAAGGTTACTATTTTGTAGTGCTCCTACTTTCAAACACATCTTTTGAATTTGGCAGGAACATCTACAGAATTATTTTATTTAGAATGAGAAATTTCATAATAGAAAATGCTGCACATCTTTAATTTCCAATAGCGATTGCTTATTTTTCAGTACAGATAGATAACTTTTCAAGAAATGCATATATACCTAAATGCTTTTACACCATGCAATATGTACATAAGAATACACATTCTGCTTTTAAAATGAAAATAGATCAGTTCACGTGCATTACAATAAAATATTATGAAAATCCTATTAATGTGTTAAAATCAAAATTATTGTTCTCAACTGCTAGGTAAAATACACTGATAGAAAAAGCAGAAAGTGATGTGAGTATTTAAATTCGAAGTTACAATCTGGATTCTTAACTGGATGTTTCATTATTCAGCAGGGAGAATGTTCTTGTTATTTTGGTTTAATTTATGACATGGATTCATCTCTCCCTCAACTTTATCCTAACATATAATAATAAGACCAAGTTGGCCATCTACTCAACTCCACCCACCCAATCTTTCTTTTAATTGACATCTTGATTATTTCATAGGACGTTGAAGGCACTGAGCATCATCCTTCTTGGTGCTTTTAAAAATATTTTAAAATATGAATTCACATAATTCTTCATTCTGTTTTGTTCTCAGAAAATGCAGCTACCAATCCCCAATGATTTCTTCCTTTTCTGCAGCAAGTCCATGTATCACAGTCCATCAAGTTCCTAACTTAATGGGTACCCTAACTTCAGGAAAGGTGTTTCAAAAAGCACAGCTGCTTTTGGATCATAAACCAATATTGATGAAGAGGCAGCCCTACACACATCCCTAAACGATGTACAACTAGTAATTAAAAATGATTTGTGATAATATGTTGCACACTGGTACACATTTTTTAATCTCTTTATATATGCATTGTTGTTCACCTCTTGTTATACATATGATCATCAGATTTAAAGTGCAAAGCACATGTTTCAAATCTGATTTCTCCAATCCTGATGCTGAGCACCGGTCAATTAAGTAGAAGAATGATAAAACCATTTCAAAAACGGAATTACATCCAAGTGATGATTTTTCTATAATGTTTGCTTGGCGATTAATATTTGTCTCATGAGGATTCCAGTATTATCTTCTTTTGACACACTGTTTTGCTGCCAATACTTCATAAATCTGGGAAACTGGGGGTGAATTTGCTTAATAAATGCTCCAAGGAAGACAAGAGCCACAGATTTATCTTCCTCAATTCCTCAAGAATACTCTGTACCAATGTTTCTTGCCTTGGTTATTATTCAATGGAAATCTTCTAGTGAGCAGCTGTTAAAGACATGACATCTTGTAACTCTTGCAGAAAAGTAAAAATTCAGAAAATCACTACAGTACTGAGCAGTGATCAAAAAACCACCCAAAAACTGCATATTTTGAATATGCAGAAATAAGGGTTGATATAGGATCAAACTCTACAGCTGCATTGTGATCTCCATCTTACCCTTCTTTGTTCTGAATTTGAAAAAAGGCAGGAGGTAGTTTGGTAGTTGCATGACCAATATACACAAAATTTCTTGGTCATGTAGTATTGAACCCACAAGCTTCTTTTCACCCTTTTTGCACTGAAGCAGAGAAAAAAAATAGGTGGTTCTTACCAAAAACAAAGTCAATCTTTTGCCAGCTGGAGGGACACACTTAAAAGTTGCAGGAGGGGCAAGCACTGCATTTAATAGACCAGTAAGATTTGCACAGCTGTATCATGGAAGTAGGTGGGTCTGGGATTTTCTGGACTGAGATTTGGGTGTCTCTTTTCTCAGTTTGTTGTCCCTAGTTTAAGGCTTTATAATTTGATTTATATGTACTTCCTACCTCAAAACTTAATTTTAGCAGCAGAAACAAAAAGGGATGTAGAAGCTACAAAGACACAATTGCAGGATGCGTTAAGCCCTGGACCCAGTAGTTGCCCACTCCTTATGTACACCCAGATCAAGTCTACCTTTTCTGGAGGAGCTGTCTGGACTATTAAACACCCCTTAACTAATTTTAGTCTCAGATTTCTATAAAAAAAGAGCAATAAATTTTTCTGCTGAAGATTCATCCCCCTCAGTCTGAAAATGATGGCAAGCTGTCAGGGAGCTTGAATATAGGATCACTACAATCATTATGACAAATGAATCAGTCAAAGTTTCTTTATAGTTTTCCTTATGCAGAATATATCTCCATTAATTTATGAGCAGCTCTTTGCCTTTCAGATCCATATATAGCAATCACTGAGGTCTCTTAGAAATTATAAAGTTATATTCAGCTAATATCATAATGCAATATACATAATATTACTACTGTAAGGCAAAAAGCAGGCCAGCACAAGTTTAAAGTTTAATCAAAATATTCTTTATCATATTTTTACATTATGGTATCTGATATTAAAAATTACTATAGTTCAGCATCTAATAGAAAAATAAGGACATACTTGCCTATTTTAACAGGTATTAAAAAGTAGAATTTAAGCACAACTTTACAAAGTCAGTGCCTAGGATGATTCTCCAACTCAACAGCTTCTGAATACCAAGAGGAAAAAAAAACACAGTGCCCAGAAATATTTTTGCCACAGGATGCTCTTTACTACATTTTGCAATTAGATAGTTAGATAGACAGACAGACAGCTTCCCTTAGACTTCCATTTTTCTCAGCCAAGCCTGTTCGCAATTTCCTAACTTGGGTGCCTGATCCGTTTATGCATCAGCTCCCCAGCACCAGCAGCAACTAAGGAGGGAAGTCCTAGGAGAATCTGGCAGGGCCATGCCCTGTATAAAACTAAAGATAAGAGGCAGGTAGTCACTCTCTGTTCTTGGTAATATTTCAAATGGTTAATGCTGGAAGACAGACTACGAGAGGTTATGACAATCAATTGCTGAGAATTTGGAACCTGATCAGAATGTAAATTGTCCATTTAAAAATTAGAGGTCTTGTTTTGTAGCTCACCCAGGCCAACCACATGCCTGCTAAGTTATACATAGAGTACAGAGAAACCCTAGAAATGAGTTGAGGGGGCAGTGCCATTTGAGCATCAGGCCACTGATGGAAATGCCTATACAGATCAACATCATTAGCTGCCAGGTGCATGTAAAAGTTGCCTCCAATTACTGCATGTGCATGAGGGTATTGTTCTATATAATAGGCAATATATACATCCCCCTCACTCCAAAGTTTTCTACTGTTTATGCAGGTATAAGTGGGATAAGTACAGTTTTATACAGGTGAAACTCGAAAAATTAGAATATCATGCAAATGTTCATTTATGTCAGTAAG